TCTCTGAGTCGTTCTCTCTCAGTCGTCCTCTCTCTCTGAGTCGTCCTCTCTCTCTCTGAGTCGTCCTCTCTCTCTGAGTCGTCCTCTCTCTCTCTGAGTCGTTCTTTCTCTCTCTGAGTGGTCCTCTCTGTCTGAATCGTTCTCTCTCTCTGCGTCGTCCTTTTTCTCTCTCTCTCTTTATGAGTCGTCCTTTCTCTCTCTCTCTGAGTCGTCCCCTCTCTCTCTCTCTCTGAGTCGTTCTCTCTCTCTCTGAGTGGTTCTCTCTGTCTGAATCGTTCTCTCTCTCTGCGTCGTCCTTTTTCTCTCTCTCTTTATGAGTCGTCCTTTCTCTCTCTCTCTCTGAGTCGTCCTCTCTCTCTCTCTCTGAGTCGTGCTCTCTCTGGCCAAACATTCTTCTCTATCTGTCTATACGAGGGCGATGAGCGGACACGGTGTAGCGGCAGCACGCTGAAAGCTGAGATTGTTATCATAATTAATATCACCGTTCCTCTTCCCCACGAAGCAATACTTATTTTATCGACCCCGAGGATCAAGAGATGATGGGCTGAGCCGATTGAACCCCAAACCGGGATTTGACCTCTCAACCTTTCCCGATGGCGAGCCGCTCGCTCGAGCCCCGATAATGCGCCCGTAAAGGCGGCGCAAATTGCCACCAAACGCGGATAATCTCCCCGCGGGCTATGCACATCACACCGTCGGATTCACTGCGCCCTCGAGAGTGACCCGCTCAGTAAATGTTTGGTAATAAATAAATAGACAACAACAGCAACAACAGCAGCATGCGCCCGTGGTGTAGCTCTCGTCAACGCACCCCGCTTGCAATCGATCCGATGGGTCGCCGCCCACAATCGCGATCGATCTTCCGGCGGGCGTGGTGAGTGATCGATCTGCCGGCGTGGTGAGTGATCGTGTCGATGTTGGGCCTCGGTCGGGACTCGAACTCAGATCGCGGTCGGTCGTGTGATGGACGGGGCCGCCGCGTCCCCGCAGCGAGTAAAACACGCGAGAGGGGAACTTCTGTGGTTGTTGTTGATGTTTTTGATGTTGTTGTTGATGTTGTTGTTGATGTTGTTGATGGTGTTGTTGATGTTGTTGTTGATGTTGTTGTTGATGTGGTTGTTGATGTTTTTGTTGTTGATGTTGTTGTTGATGTTGTTATTGATGTTGTTGTTGATGTTGTTGTTGTTGTTGTTGATGTTGTTGATGTTGTTGTTGATGTTGATGTTGTTGATGTTGTTGTTGATGTTGTTGATGTTGTTGATGTTGTTGTTGTTGATGTTGTTGTTGTTGGGTTCGCGCGGAGCTTTCTGGAGAGGCTCGCTGCCACGAGCGGCATCAGTCAGCACCCTGATGGGTCGACTCGAGGGACACAAATTCTGGAGTCCAAACACGGCCCCCCCCCCTATCCCCCCACCCTCTCCATCCCCCCCCACCTCCTTCCACCCCTACCCCCTTTGCCCCCCCATCCCCCACCCTCCCCATTTACCCCCCCTCCTTCCACTCTATCCCCTTTGCCCCCCCCCATCCCCCCACCCTCCCAATTTACCCCCCCCCACCTTCCACCTCTATCCCCTTTGCCCCCCTACCCCCCACGTCTTGGCAGACCACTAAACATCAAGGCGTGGTCATTGTCTTTGCCCGGCGGCGTCAGCGGCGTCAGTGGCGGTGGCTTCGCTGCACGTGGCTTATAATGCGGCGCAGTGCGGGCAGCAGCGAGGGTTGGTGGTTCACACACAGACACACACACAGACACACACAGACACACACAGACACACACACAGAGACAGACACAAACAGATGATGATGATGACGAGGATGTTGCGAGACTCCCTTCCCGCTGTGCGTCGAGGAGGAGGAGCCCGTACCTTGTGCCCTGACAGGTGAAGGCGGTAACAGTCAAAACACGTGGGCTCCCACGTGTTCCGTCCGCACGGGATTGAGCGTTGCACCGTCGCGCACGTTGAGTTTTCTCCGGGTGCTCCGGTTTCATTCCCGCAGGCAAACACTCAATTATTGGCCGATACCACCTCAATGTATAGAGGATCGCAGAGCTTGGGCAATTGTTGCTGCTGCTGCGTTCCCGCTCGTCCGAGTCGTTCTCTCTTCCAGAATCAGCGAGCACCGCCGTTCTGTGTTACGGGTCGCGTTTACGATCGGTAACGTCTCTCCGTATTACACTCGGGTTGTCAAAATCGACTCTCTCTCTATATTTTATTATTATTTTTGTTCCATGACCGGGTCACCGCATGGAGAGAAAACAAACATCTGGCTCCTGGTTTCCCAGTGGTGGTGTAGCGGTGAGCGCACCACACATGCCACCCAGAGGTAACACCAGTTCGATTCCATGGCCCGGCGCGGCAGTTAAAAACAATGGGGTTTCGTTTCGATTTAAAGCTTTCGTGACTGCAGGGATTCATTTTCTTGGTTCTTTCGGTAAAGTCACGTAGAAGGGAAATAATAAAAATAAAACATAATAAAATCATTCTTACGACGTTTCGGCCACAACGCAAGCAGCCGTCCTCAGGTGAAGACCAGGTCTGTCGGGGTGGTGTTTCATTCAGACGCTGTCTCCCCGACAGACTTGGTCTTCACCTGAGGACGGCTGCTTGCGTTGTGGCCGAAACGTCGTGAGAATTATTTTATTATGTTTTATTTTTATTATTTTATTATTTCCCTTCTACGTGACTTTACCGAAAGAACCAAGAAAATGGGGTTTCGCTTGTTTAAATCAGCGCACTCATTGCTCTTAAGCGTCCGCTGGAAACCGTAACAGGCGATAGATTTTTAAAACGGTTACCGGTTTACTGGTTACAGGGTGACCACTATCATTTGATACATGAGTGACATATGTTAGTGAAAACTAATGGGGTTTTGTTTTTTTTATCAGCGCAGTCATTGCTCTTAAACTTCCGCTGGAAACCGTAACCGGCAAATCGATTTCAAAACGGTTACCGGTTTATTGGTTACAGGGTGACAACCCTAGTTTATACAAGGGCGACGTGTTAGTCCACGCAGCTTCAAACAAGTTCCTGGAACGGTGTGTAAACATTTCTACTAGGGAAGACAAAGACGGCCTGGTGCTCGTCACGTCATCACCTCGTGAGGCGTGTCGATGCTCATAGGTGCTGGTGTTGGATGGAGGTGCTGCTGATGATTCTGATGGTACTGCTGCTGCTGCTGATGATGATGCTGATGATGGTGACCGTGCACCCCGCAACGTGGCCCCGCTGTTGTTGTCTGTGGCCGCGCCCCCGTGACGTTTTGCTCGGTACCCCTCGAAAGTTCGAGAGATGTGTCCACTCCCGTGACCCCTCCGGCCTGAGAGCGGGACTCCATCTTCTTGGTTCTTTCGGTAAAGTCACGTAGAATGGAAATAATACAATAATAAAAAAAAACATCATAAAATCATTCTCGCGACGTTTCGGCCGCAACGCAAGCAGCCATCCTCAGGTGAAGAACAGGTCTGTCGAGAAGACAGAGTCCTTCTTTCTGTCGAGAAGACAGAGTCCTTCTGTCTGTCGAGAAGACAGAGTCCTTCTGTCTGTCGAGAAGACAGAGTCCTTCTGTCTGAAGGACTCTGTCTTCTCGACAGACCTGTTCTTCACCTGAGGACGGCTGCTTGCGTTGTGGCCGAAACGTCGTGAGAATTATTTAATTATGTTCTATTTTTATTATTTTATTATTTCCATTCTACGTGACTTTACCGAAAGAACTAAGAAGATGAATCCCTGCAGTCACGAAAGCTTTAAATCGAAATTTAACGGGACTCCACTTCAAACCTGTCTAGGGTCTCGGCAAAACCCGCACGGCGAGCGCGGAGAAACCGCAACGCACAACGCGGGGTCCCGTGGAGAGGGTCATTGCACGAAACGTCACCTGGTGAACATACGGGTACGTGTGAAAGGTAGAGGCGCAGCCCTGCAAAGTGCTCGCTCACGTCACCGCCGGTGGAAGGGGGCCGTCCATAAATGACGTCACGCATCTAGGAGAGGGGGGGGGGGTCAGACATTTGTGACGATGTGTGACGAGGGGGGGGGGTGAGAAATGTGACGTCACATAAAAATGCGCAACTTTAAATAAATATAGACAACACGTTCTACTTAATTAAATAGACTTTTTAATAAATGTTTTCTCCTACAACATCAGAGTGCAGCGCCACATTAAATACGCACTACAATGACAATAGTTTAAAGTGATTTGAAGCGTGTTTTATTTTTTTGTGGGGGGGGGCAGAGCTTTGTGACGTCATATTTGAGGGGGGGGTCTGACTTTTTGTGACGCCGTGTGACGAGGGGGGGGGGGGTAAAAAATCGCCAAAATCGTGGGTAGGAGGGGGGGGGGCAGGAGGGGGGGTAGGAGGGGAGGTGGGCAGGAGGGGGGGTAGGAGGGGGGGTGGGCAGGAGGGGGGGGTAGGAGGGGGGGTAGGAGGGGGGGTAGGAGGGGGGGGCAGGAGGGGGGCAGGAGGGGGGGCAGGAGGGGAGTTAGGAGGGGGGGTGGGCAGGAGGGGGGGCAGGAGGGGGGGCAGGAGGGGGGGGTGAGTAGGAGGGGGGGTGAGGAGGGGGGGGTGGGTAGGAGGGGGGGGTGAGTAGGAGGGGGGGTAGGAGGGGGGGTGAGTAGGAGGGGGGGGCGGGTAGGAGGGAGGGGGTAGGAGGGGGGGTGAGTAGGAGGGGGGGTAGGAGGGGGGGTGAGGTAGGAGAGGGGGGTGGGTAGGAGGGGGGTGAGTAGGAGAGGGGGGGTGGGTAGGAGGGGGGTGGGTAGGAGGGGGGGGGTGAGGAGGGGGGGTAGGAGGGGGGGTGAGTAGGAGGGGGGTGGGTAGGAGGGGGGGGGCGGGCAGGAGGGGGGGGGGGGTAGGAGGGGAGGGGCAGGTAGGAGGGGGAGTGAGAAGGGGGTAGGAGGGGGGGTGAGTAGGAGGGGGGGCAGGAGGGGGGGGGTGTAGCGTGAGAGCCCCTGGTGTAGTCGAGCGACACCTGGCGACCGCTTGCGTGGAGCTAAGAAGGAGGCCTCCATCCTCCCCCCTCCCTCCTCCCCCCGGGCTCCTCCTGCAGTCTCCTCCCCTCTACACCTCGCAATGGACGCGGCCTCGGCACACACGGAGCGGACTCTCGCACCTCTACTGCTGCTCGCAGTGAGTGTCCGCCTCCCCTCCTTCCCAGACCACCACAACCACCACCACCACCACAACAACCACAGCCACAACAACAACCACAACCCTGCGCCGTGGAAGGCCGCGCCGGCTCGCGGGCCGTGGGCCTGCCGGGCTCGACTCGTTCCGGGGGCCGCACCGCCCGGGCCACGTCTAAGGGGACACCCCCAGGGGGTAGCCCTGAAGGGGGTACCCCTACCCCCTTAGCCCCTTACCCCCAAGCCCCCCTACCGAGGTTCGACTCTGAACCTGGGCCACCCATTGGGGTCTGGCGTGGTCCCCCAGAATGTTGTGTGGTTACCGGTCTCTCTACAGTCGAGGGAGGAGGGGGGTGGTGATGGTGGTGGTGGTTCCGCAAGTTGACCCCCGATACCCCCTCGCTGGTCCCCTCCATCACGACGACCCTCGAGGCGTAGAGGTCAACGAGGGGATCTCGACGGGGTTCACGGTGGACAGTGCCGTGGCATGGAGCGGCGGGGCGGGGGGTCGAGAGGGGGTCCGGCCAGGTCCGGATGTGGAGGAGATTTGAGTGCGTGTAGTGTGTAGAGTGTAGTGTGTAGTGTGTTGTGTCTGTGTGTAGAGTGTAGTGTGTAGTGTGTTGTGTCTGTGTGTAGAGTGTGTTGTGTCTGTGTGTGTAGTGTGTTGTCTATCTGTGTAGTGTGTTGTCTGTGTGTAGAGTGTTGTGTGTAGTGTAGTGTGTTGTCTATGTGTGTGTAGTGTGTAGAGTCTGTGTAGTGTGTTGTCTATGTGTGTGTAGTGTAGTGTGTAGAGCCTGTGCAGTGTGTTGTCAATGTGTGTGCGTAGTGTGGTGTGTGTAGTGTGTGTGTAGAGTCAGTGTGTTGTGTGTGTAGTGTGTTGTCTGTGTGTGTAGTGTGTTGTCTATCTGTGTGTGTAATGTGTTGTCTGTGTGTGTCATGTCTGTGTGTAGTGTCTGTGTGTCATGTCTGTGTGTGTAGAGTGTTGTGTCTGTGTGTAGTGTGTAGAGTCTGCGTGTGTAGTGTGTTGTGTGTGTAGTCTGTGTGTCGTCTGTGTGTGTAGTGTTGTCTGTGTGTGTAGTATGTCGTGTCTGTGTGTTGGCGAGCACCTATCAGTTTACCGTGTTGAGTACACCACACAGAGTACACCACACAGAGTACACCACACAGAGTACTGTGTACTGTATGTACACACACACGACTGGACTACGTTACTGGGTGTCAACGTGCACAGTCTCATGGAGGGGCCACGTGCAGCAGTGGATAGAGTCTGATGGCGTTAACTTTGGTTGTTACAGATTGCTGTCCACGAGGTGCGGGGTGCTTGCTGCTGCTGCTGCTGTTCGTGTGGGAATGGACAGTGGTGAAGATGGTTGTGGAACTTGTTGATGATGCTGATGCTGATGATGGTGGTGATTGTGTGTTAATGTTGGGTGATGGTGGTGTTCATGTCAAATAACGACGGAGGTGACGTTTGATGATGATGATGGTGAAGATGTGAACGCTGATGGTGAGGTGCATGTCTGTTCTTGTGTGATTTTTAAATGATAACGATGGCAACAGCAATGATTAAGTTAATCATATTAAGTAGGATGATGATGATGTTGGTGATGATGTGCTGTCATTGGTTGTGATGGTGACAACGATAGTGATGGTGGTGGAGATGACAATGCTGCTGCTGCTGGTGATGATGGTGATGATGATGATGGTGGTGATGGTGGTGGTGATGTTGATGATGTTAGGAGCAAAGTGATTGTGAATTGTTGATGTTTGGGCCATCTGAATTACGGCTGTCTGGCTTGCCTCCGCTTTTAAATGTGGCGCCTTCTGATTGGCTGGCCCGGCCCGTGACGTCACCGGCAAGACGCTTTACATTTGGAAGCGCGGATAGACAATGAGGGGGGGGGGGGTCGGGTTCCGCGTTCTGATTGGTCGAGACTGTAACGCTAACTCTTATCCAGTGTACGTATTCTAGAGTGCCTATACGTGATGATGTGCGCTTTGAATATTATAATACAAAGTTCTCTATGAAAATGCACGGAGTTTATCTTTACGCATGAGTAATATATAGTATGGCAAGGTTCTATGGGACTTTATATATGCTAATACCAGACTTAATGTATACACGCTTAGTGTAACGTGCATAACTTTGTATTATAAAGTTAGGTGTCGTACACTTTGTGTGTGTGTACATGAACAGCGCTGTCTGTCTCTCCACTGCTGGATGATGGCCTGTGCGGCCCGTGTGGGTTCTTTGACCATCCTTCACCACGCGGGTCGGTGCTAGCGGGGAGCATAGAAATACAGCGCAGCAATCGATGTTTCTGCATTGGCCCTCTGCTGCCCGCCATGGCAGCCCTGCCATGGCAACCATGGCATGGCTGCCATGGCAACCCTGGCATGGCAACCCTGGCATGGCAACCCTGGCATGGCAACCCTGGCATGGCAACCGTGCCACGGCAACCCTGGCATGGCAACCCTCCCATGGCAACCTTGGCATGGCAACCCTGGCATGGCAACCCTCCCATGGCAACCCTGGCATGGCAACAATGCCATGGCAACCCTGGCATGGCAACCCTGGCATGGCAACGCTGGCATGGCAACCCTCCCTTGGCAACCCTGGCATGGCAACCCTCCCATGGCAACCCTGGCATGGCAACCCTGGCATGGCAACCCTGGCATGGCAACCCTGGCATGGCAACCCTGCCATGGCAACCCTCCCATGGCAACCCTGGCATGGCAACCGTTCCATGGCAACCGTTCCATGGCAACCGTGCCATGGCAACCCTGGCATGGCAACTCTGGCATGGCAACCCTCCCATGGCAACCCTGGCATGGCAACCCTGGCATGGCAACCCTGGCATGGCAACCCTGGCATGGCAACCCTGCCATGGCAACCGTGCCATGGCAACCCTGGCATGGCAACCCTGGCATGGCAACCGTGCCATGGCAACCCTGGCATGGCAACCCGCAAGGCCTATCGCACGCACCCTGTGTGTGTGCGCGATGGTTTCAAGTTGGCTTTGTTTAACCCGGTGAGATCTCAAAGGTTACCGGGATAAAAGTCTCATTCGCCTGAGCGAGCTGGGTCCAGCGCTGTCCAGGCTCAACCGCTTCTAGGCTTTGCGAGATGTGGTGACCCGCGTGCCGGGTGGAGGAGGAGGGGGGGTCAGGTGACCATGACGGGCATCGGAAGTGGTGCTCAGAGATGGCCGTGCAAGGGGAAGAAGAAGACCCCTGGTGCCGGACGCTCGATTCATCGTTTTAACTCTTCCAGAAGGCCACGTGGCTGATGAAATTTGTCAATCATCTTTTTGTTGTTGTATATAAATGAGGGACAGGTATGGGAAGGAGGCGGATTGTCTGCCGATTTAGTTTGGGAGTGAAATTCTCCACAGTGACGTTCGTGCTTATTCTGTGTTGTGCGTCACGGAGAGTTTGGCGTCAAACCTGGACCCATGTCGAACAGAGAGGGTCCTTGCCAATACTATTTGCTCTTCGATTTAGCAGGTAAAGCCCACTGAGATATTAGCTCTCTTTCACAGGTGACCTGGCCTCACGTGATGGCTCGTTGAAGTGGTTAATCGCGGTGTGGGAACTTATAGGGGGCAGCCAAATAATCTCAAGCGTACGTTTCTAAATGAGAAGGGCAGAACGGCTGTAACGCAGAGAGCACGCGACCACCACGGGGAGAGGAAACGCGCTGACTCCAAATATACAACAGGCATCGAACCCACGGCCTCCTGCGTGCCAGGCGAGGGAGAACGGCGTTTCCCCGCCGCCGCCGCGGCGCCCGGTTCGGCGACATCGTATCGCCACGGCGCTAACTCGGCGGGTCCCTCGCGAACGAGCGTGAAGCGGATTTCCTGGGTAAACAAGCGCCGTGACGATGGCGACGGCGAGATGAGTGGCGGCCCCGGCGCCGATTTGAACAGCGAGGCACTCGAACGTTTGTTAGGCCGAGCTTTTTTCTCGATTGTCATCCGATCGACCAGGTCAGAGGTCACGCTGAGCAGTGGGCCAGTACTGATGCTATGCGTGTGGCATCTCCTGGGGTCACTATTATTATTATTATTATTGTGCTTTTTTGCCCAGGAAAGCCTCCCTGAGTCTTAAGACTATTTCATAGCTAATAGGGTTTTTCCCCTTTTTTTCTGGCAACAAAACTGACACCTTTTGCAAGGAATCATGTTTACATTAACCACCATACTTGCAGTCAAATGCAAACAAAAAACAATACTCTGATAATTTATGCATTGTCCTTGAAACTTATTTTTTGTTTCCATTTGACTGCAAGTATTTTGGTTAATGTCAACATGATTCCTTGCAAAAGGTGTCAGTTTTGTTGCCAGAAAAAAAGTGGGAAAACCCCTATTAGTATATTTTGGTACTGGCAAAGGAGGTCCCATGATATTTCATAGCTGTCAACCCGTACAGTTTATTCTTGTACAGGCAAATTACGTTTTCAGGTCCATACGGCGTGCAGCCGTTTCAATACGGGCAAAAATAAAAATAAATGTTCCTCTTTGTTTGTGTTGCTCCCTTGTGATGGGACTTTGGGGGATGAACTTTGAGAATTTATAATAGCACGGGATGACCAATAAGGTCTGAATTGGTCTGCAATAAGGTAGGCACCGATAAGAGGTTGATGGCTATGCTATTTTTCATGAGGATCCTGCTACATCAGGACAATACTAATATGAATAATATGATGTTTGGTATTGGCGCTGTCGTTTCGATAGCGCCAATACCTGTCGACAGCGCAGGGCAATCATCATTAAGGAAGACGCCTCTGTGTGGAGGACTGTTGTAGTTCCACAGTGGGTGGGGGTTGATGTTGTTGGCATGTGTGTGATCCCAGTTGAGCAATTTGTGGTTTAATTTTTCACGTTTGGTAAGTTTGGACTGTGACGCTGGCAAATATTGCAGCGTTACAAGCTGTGAACGCGAATAACTGATGGTGCCACTCTTGAGCTGACTGACTGCGCTACTCTTGTATGTCATGCAGGCCACGTGGATCAGCCAGGTGCTGGGCAGCACAGTAAACCTCAACACCGAGAACGTGGACAGCATATTAGGTAACCACAGCACCCTCGCTTTGACTCACACTCTTGCTCACACTCTTGCTCACACTCACATTCATTCTCACCCCCCTCACACTCTCACAAGACAAAGATCCCCCGTATAGCCTTAACAGATTGTAGGAGCAAGTGCTGTTAGCGAGCATCTATAAAGGCCGGAACGGCACACGAGGGGGTGGGTGGCCAGCACCACGCCTGGCCGCCTTTGTCTCCCTAGTGGCGATGTTTACACATCGCACCAGGTATTCATTTGAGGCTGAGTCGACATAGGAGAGGCCCAGGACCGGTTCAGATAATCGTCACTGGTGGTGTTGGCCGTGAGCGGCAATCGAACCCGTGTCGCCGGGTTCATAGCGCAGCGCTCTAACCGCTACACTACCGCTCTCACACACACCATTAAAGCCTTGCTCACGCTCAAACCCTCATAGCCTCACTCACCTCACTCACACCCACACACACCCTCACTCACGAGGTATCATATCGAATGCGGTGATGTGTAAGTAATACAGGTAAAGGTGTAGCAGACCTGCTATTCTATGGGGACCTCATTTGCCAGTAAAAATATGATAATTGGTTCTTTACCCTTCTATCTGGCAACAAAACTGACACCTTTTTGCAAGGAGTCATGTTTGCATAGACCGCAATACCTGCAGTCATAAATACAAACAAAAGACATAACTCTGATAATGTGCACTGTCCTTGAAGTTGATTGGTCCACACCCGAGACAGCTTTCCTTCGAGCCTAGTCTCATATGGGTTGGACCAGATGACGCCAAAAGGCGCACAACTCAAGGACAATGCACCATCAGAGTATGAGAGCTCGGGGCAAGCATCTACACTATGGGGACCTCATTTGCCAGTAAAAATATGATAATTGGTTTTTTACCCTTCTATCTGGCAACAAAACTGAGTTGTGCGCCTTTTGGCGTCATCTGGTCCAACCCATATGAGACTAGGCTCGAAGGAAAGCTGTCTCGGGTGTGGACCAATCAACTTCAAGGACAGTGCACATTATCAGAGTTATGTCTTTTGTTTGTATTTATGACTGCAGGTATTGCGGTCTATGCAAACATGACTCCTTGCAAAAAGGTGTCAGTTTTGTTGCCAGATAGAAGGGTAAAGAACCAATTATCATATTTTTACTGGCAAATGAGGTCCCCATAGTGTAGATGCTTGCCCCGAGCTCTCATACTCTGATGGTGCATTGTCCTTGAGTTGTGCGCCTTTTGGCGTCATCTGGTCCAACCCATATGAGACTAGGCTCGAAGGAAAGCTGTCTCAGGTGTGGACCAATCAACTTCAAGGACAGTGCACATTATCAGAGTTATGTCTTTTGTTTGTATTTATGACTGCAGGTATTGCGGTCTATGCAAACATGACTCCTTGCAAAAAGGTGTCAGTTTTGTTGCCAGATAGAAGGGTAAAGAACCAATTATCATATTTTTACTGGCAAATTAGGTCCCCATAGTGTAGATGCTTGCCCCGAGCTCTCATACTCTGATGGTGCATTGTCCTTGAGTTGTGCGCCTTTTGGCGTCATCTGGTCCAACCCATATGAGACTAGGCTCGAAGGAAAGCTGTCTCGGGTGTGGACCAATCAACTTCAAGGACAGTGCACATTATCAGAGTTATGTCTTTTGTTTGTATTTATGACTGCAGGTATTGCGGTCTATGCAAACATGACTCCTTGCAAAAAGGTGTCAGTTTTGTTGCCAGATAGAAGGGTAAAGAACCAATTATCATATTTTTACTGGCAAATGAGGTCCCCATAGTGTAGATGCTTGCCCCGAGCTCTCATACTCTGATGGTGCATTGTCCTTGAGTTGTGCGCCGTTTGGCGTCATCTGGTCCAACCCATATGAGACTAGGCTCGAAGGAAAGCTGTCTCGGGTGTGGACCAATCAACTTCAAGGACAGTGCACATTATCAGAGTTATGTCTTTTGTTTGTATTTATGACTGCAGGTATTGCGGTCTATGCAAACATGACTCCTTGCAAAAAGGTGTCAGTTTTGTTGCCAGATAGAAGGGTAAAGAACCAATTATCATATTTTTACTGGCAAATGAGGTCCCCATAGTGTAGATGCTTGCCCCGAGCTCTCATACTCTGATGGTGCATTGTCCTTGAGTTGTGCGCCTTTTGGCGTCATCTGGTCCAACCCATATGAGACTAGGCTCGAAGGAAAGCTGTCTCGGGTGTGGACCAATCAACTTCAAGGACAGTGCACATTATCAGAGTTATGTCTTTTGTTTGTATTTATGACTGCAGGTATTGCGGTCTATGCAAACATGACTCCTTGCAAAAAGGTGTCAGTTTTGTTGCCAGATAGAAGGGTAAAGAACCATTTATCAGACCTGCTATTGCTTGATCGTGGGCGACAGTCGACGAGAATGAAACTGTGACCACACGAACTTCACAGTTTTCACTGGAACTCCGCAGGCTGGCGTTGATTCAAGTTAAGCGCCACGTTCTTAGTATCGACCTAGCTCAAGCTCCCTTCTACGTGACTTGACTCAGGCTCATTTCAGGCTTTGCCTCTAGACCCAGCTCGGGCTCGAGCCGCTCCGTTGCATACAAAGAGGCGCGAGTGAGCTGCTCAGCTGTGGCCTGGCTCAAGGTCAGACTCATGGAAACATCCTGAGAATGGCTGGGACCATGCTTGGAGCACGCGGCTTTGAGCCATGGCTCACTTGAGCCAGAGCCAAGCCTGAGCTGAGCCGTGACTCGGGATACGGACCTCAGAATATGGATTGAAGTTTACATTAACAATGTAATATGAATACGAATCATGTTAAGTTTCATACAGCGTCCTTTATTGAATCTCACAAAAGCTGAGGATCCACAGACGAGCGGGAAGGCTGCAGCCAGACAGTTGCCCAAGCTCTACAGTTCTCTATTTCTCAGGACGCTTTCAGCCAATTAATAGATAGATTTTATTTATTTCAGCTGGAAGTGCCCAACGAGCTGCTAGGCTCTATTTTGTGAGTGTCCTGCGATGGTACAGGTGTTGTATTGTACAATTCTTAGTGACACAAGCATGTTCACATAGGTCGCGATACAAAACGGCTTCATACACGTTACGGGGACGATGAGTGTTTATGCAACGTGAATGCAACGTTGCTCACCGAGCTTACCCACCCCCCCGGTCTGGCCCCGCGGCTCTGTGCGCCGCGGTGCAGGTTCCGCGGATCTGGTGATGGTCAACTTCTACGCGGACTGGTGAGTGTGCTCCTCCTGTTTACGATGTCAGAGTTTGATCCGAGATCTGAAGTAAAATCTCTCGGGCTCCGGTTGGCCACCTCGTGTTGGGTCTTCTTTACGTGCGTCTCCGGACCAACAGACGGACGACGGCACGAGCACTCTCAGCACGCGCGGCGTCGTGGACAAAACGCGGCATTTGCTATCCTTTAATTTGTTGAGTTTTTTTTGTCGTTTTGGGTGACAACCCAGGTCGCTGGGGCGAATGAGACTCCTGTCCCGGTCCCTTGAGTTCTCACCGGGTTACACGGACTCCAACTTGAGACTTGGCAGTGCTATTTTCCGAGTTGTAACATATATCGAGGGCTACTAACGCGTCGCTCTTGAGCCGAGCAAGTTTAGTGTTGTAGGAGCATCGGGGGAAAGAGACGATGATGGGAGGAGGGAATTCCAGAGCGGAGCAGAGCGAGGGTAGAAGCAGAGAGAGAAGTGAAGCGAAACGCGCCGCTGACGTGAGCCGTGGCCAGGAATGGAGCCCCCGACGGCCTAAACGTGCGCGCTAATACGGTCGGTCGCCAGCGCTGTCGTTCAACCCCACCAGGAGTGGGGGGGGGGGGGGGGTGTGCGACGTGGGAGCAGGGGTCGGATCATTAGCCTAAAGGTCACGGGGTCTTGTGTGGCGCCCGTCATCTCTCCTCCCCCCCCCTCTCCACGTGGTCACGATGCCGACCCTGCCCTGCCGCTCTTGTCGATTTCGCCACGGGCCTCCTGTGCCGTCGCGCGTCCGCGCTCGGGGTGGCGGATCAGCGCCAGGGTTCGTTAGGGTCCGTTTAACGAGTCCGCGGGGGCACGCGCGGGGGCAGGGGGGGGGGCAGGGGGGCGGCGGCCAGGGCCCTGTTTGTAATTAGGGGGTTGTAATTGGGGTTGCTCTCCGGTCCTCCGTGGCGCGCCCTTTGTTTAATTCCGGCTAATGTAGCGAACAGGCGAGCAGGCGGCCTAACGAGCGCGCGTGCGGATTTGTGTTATCGCTGCGACTAAGCGCGTGCTCGTGTCACCCGGGAGAGCCTCGCCGAGTCTCGAGGCTCGCTCTCGGGAGGGTCCTGCCAAGTCCGTCACAGTAGGGGTGGGGCGGGCGCGATGATGCTGCTGTTGCTGATGTCCCAGTTGAGCGCTTTGCAGGCGGCATTTGCAGCATCGCGATGTTTGGGCCGATACCGCTTGTTACGCTGTCCGGTTTTATTTACGTGATGGGAGCGGGCCGGAGAAATCCGGAGGAGACCCATGCAGAGCAGGTGGAGAATAAATATCCACACGCTGCGCACATTAAGCTCCCGGGTCAGGAATCGAACCCGGGCGCTCGTTGCTGTGAGGCACGAGTGTCATCACTGCAACACGGCCGCCGGTTTTCCCCACGTCACGCGTGTGGTGCACGCGTGTTGCGTGTTGCACGCGTGGTGCACGCGTGTTGGGCGCGTGGTGCGCGTGTGTTACATGTGTGGGGCACGTGTGTTACATGTGTCCTGCACGTGTGTTAGATGTGTGGTGCACGTGTGTTACATGTGTGGGGCACGTGTGTTACATGTGTCCTGCACGTGTGTTACATGTGTCCTGCACGTGTGTTGCATGTGGTGCACCTGTGTTACGCGCGTGGTGCGCGTGTGTTACATGTGTGGGGCACGTGTGTTACATGTGTCCTGCACGTGTGTTACATGTGTGGTGCACGTGTGTTACATGTGTGCTGCACGTGTGTTGCATGTGGTGCACGTGTGTTACATGTCTCCTGCACGTGTGTTACATGTGTGGTGCACGTGTGTTATGCGTGTGTAGGTGCCGCTTCAGTCAGATGCTGCACCCCGTGTTTGACGAGGCGGCCCACATGGTGCAGCAGGAGTTCCCGGGGGACAACTCCATCGTGTTTGCGCGCGTCGACTGTGAACTCCAAGGTGCCTGCAGACCCACCACGTCGCTCTCGCATCATCATCACGCTGCACCACCGCTCACACACAGACACACAAAGATCCCCCGTATAGCCTGAACAGACTGTTGGGGCAAGTGCTGTTAGCGAGCACCTATGAAGGCTGGAACGGTACACGAGGGGGTGGGTGGCCAGCATCGCGCCCGACCGCCTTTGTCTCCCCAGTGGCGATGTGTACACACCGCACTAGGTACTCGTTTCAGGCCGAGTTGACCTAGGGGAGGCCCCGGACAGGTTCAGAAAATCGCCACTGGTGTTGGCCGTGAGTGGGAAGCAAACTCCGGTTGCCGGGTTTGTAGCCCAGCGCGCTAACCGCTGCACCACCGCTCACCACACAGACACAAAGACAAAGATCCCCCGTAAAGCCTTTACAGACTGTAGGGGCAAGTGCTGTTAGCGAGCGCCTATGAAGGCCGGCACGGTATAAGAGGGGGTGGGGTGGCCAGCACCACGCCCGACCGCCTTTGTCTCCCCAGTAGCGATGTTTACACACCTCACCAGGTACTCATTTGAGACTGAGTCGACCTAGGGGAGGCCCGGGACCGGTTCAAGATAATCGCCACTGGTGTTGGCCATGGGCAGGAATTGAACCCGTGTCGCCGGGTTCATAGCGCAGCTCGCTAACCACTACACTACCGCTCCCCACACACAGACACACACAGACATACACAGACACACAACAACAACAACCGCCATTCGCCACCACGCTTGTGCTAGGCCATGTGCACCTTGAGGCCACGTGAAGTATCGAACGCCCGCTGGCAGGAGGTCATGGGGCAGACCCAGGTGCCACGGGTCGACTGACCGAGATGACCGAGATGACTGGCTGATGCACCACCTGTGCCCCCTACTGTACCAACTTGCTGTGCTTTAGCCACCCAGCGCTCCGCTTGTTGTTGTGAGCGTCGCTCCTCCACCCTCTGTTGTTGTTGGAAGGCGACTGCCTCCAACTGCCCAGTAGCGTCCTTCATGATCCTCCTCCACAGAGGCCGATCTTGACACCGCTGGTACCAGTCATTGGCAAGTCCACTCAGCTCCACGTCCTCCTGTACCACATCACTCCATCTCTTCTCTAGCCCGTGCCGCGCCCGTTTAGCCCCCTCGATCCGGCCGAACAAAAGCTGTTTAGGCATGCGGTGGCTGGGCATGCGGGCTACATGACCCAGCCAACGCAGCCTTGCCTGCCGGAGGAGCTCACCGATGGGACTTTGCCCAGATCTTTCAAGGATCTGTGAGCTCCTCACACAATCCAGCCTGGTTAAACCCAGGATGGATCGTAGGCAGGCCAGCCTAAATGTTTCCAACCGGCGAAGATATACACAGACATACACACACAGACACACACACACAGAGCTATGGCTAAGCAAAACTCAGCGCATCCCCCCTGGACCAATCCCCTCGCCTGCACTCGCTGTTCTCTGTGTCACGGCCAATCAGCCAGGCAGCACTCTCCCTTCTCCACTCCCCCGAGGGGGGTGGGGGGGGGGGTGCGCACAGCCCATCGCTGGCGTGGCCTTTAATTGGTGGCGATTAATGGCTTTAATTGGCAGAGTGGAGGCACGGCCGCCCCACTCGGGGGAGTTGACAACAACAACAATGACCATCCCAGCAGCGGTGGTGGTGGCGGCGGTAGGAGTGGGAGTGTGAGTGGGAGGGAGCGTGCAAGTGTAAGTTGAGCGTTTCAAGTGTGAGTGGGAGCGTGGGAGTGTGAGAGTGGGAGCGAGCGTACGAGTGGGAGGGAGCGAGCGAGTGTGCGTGAGTGGGAGCGTGCGTGCGTGAGTGGGAGCGAGTGTGCGTGCGTGAGTGCGAGCGTGCGTGAGTGGGAGCGAGTGTGCGTGAGTGAGTGCGAGCGTGCGTGAGTGGGAGCGAGTGTGCGTGAGTGGGAGCGTGCAAGTGTAAGTGGAGCGTTTCAAGTGTGAGTGGGAGCGTGGGAGTGTGAGAGTGGGAGCGAGCGTACGAGTGGGAGGGAGCGAGCGAGTGTGCGTGAGTGGGAGCGTGCGTGCGTGAGTGCGAGTGTGCGTGAGTGGGAGCGTGCGTGCGTGAGTGCGAGTGTGCGTCAGTGGGAGCGTGCGTGCGTGAGTGAGTGCGAGTGTGCGTGAGTGGGAGCGTGCGTGCGTGAGTGCGAGTGTGCGTGAGTGGGAGCGAGTGTGCGTGAGTGGGAGCGTGCGTGCGTGAGTGAGTGCGAGTGTGCGTGAGTGGGAGCGTGCGTGCGTGAGTGCGAGTGTGCGTGAGTGGGAGCGTGCGTGCGTGAGTGAGTGCGAGTGTGCGTGAGTGGGAGCGTGCGTGCGTGAGTGCGAGTGTGCGTGAGTGGGAGCGTGCGTGCGTGAGTGCGAGTGTGCGTGAGTGGGAGCGTGCATGCATGAGTGGGAGCGTGGAAGCGTGCATGAGTAGGAGCTGCGTGAGTGGAAGCGTGCGTTTCTGGGAGCGTGCATGAGTGCGTGCGTGAGTTGGAACAAGTGTGCATGCGTGAGTGGGAGCGAGCATGGGAGCGAGCATGCGTGAGTGGGTGGGAGCATGCGGGAGTGAGTGGGAGCGAACGTGCGTGAGTGAGTGGGAGCGTGCGTGGGTGCGTGAGTGCAAGCGTGCGTGCAAGCGTGCGTGCGTGAGTGAGTGGGAGCGTGCGTGGGTGCGTGAGTGCAAGTGTGCGTGCAAGCCTGCGTGCGTGAGTGGGAGCGAGCGTGGGAGCGAGCATGCGTGACTGGGTGGGAGCATGCGGGAGTGAGTGGGTGCGTGAGTGAGTGCGTGAGTGAGTGCGTGAGTGAGTGAGTGAGTGCGTGAGTGAGTGAGTGAGTGCGTGAGTGAGTGAGTGCATGAGTGAGTGGGTGTGTGAGTGAGTGGGTGAGTGGGAGCGTACGTGGGTGCGTGAGTGGGAGCGAGTGTGCAAGTGTCGGGTAACAAGGGGTAGGCGGGGGCGGTTCCTCGCGACTCGTTAGCGCAAGGTGCACAAAGCCAATTACGCGCGCACAGGGACACGTTTAGTGAGTAATGATCGCAACCCACGACGCACTCGTCCGCTCGTCGCTCTCTCGCTCGCCCACGCCATCAACGCTCGGGGCGCCCCTCCAGCACAGCGGGGAGCTGGACGCGTACAGTGTGGACGCACGTGCCGTCGTGCCGCTGGACGGGAGGTGATAAGGGCGGGGGGGGGGGCGTCACGGTGGCCAGTTTTGCCAAATTCATGAAATCGCACCGCACGTCGTCAATCGGAATCCACGCCGAACAGCAGCAGCAGCAGGAGCAGCAGCTACAGCAGCAGCAGCAGTTACAGCAGCAGCTACAGCAGCAGCAGCTACAGCAGCAGCAGCTACAGCAGCAGCAGCTACAGCAGCAGCTACAGCAGCTGCTGCTGCAGCAGCAGCTGCAGCAGCAGCAGCTACAGCAGCAGCTGCAGCTACAGCAGCAGCTGCAGCTACAGCAGCAGCTGCAGCAGCAGCTGCAGCAGCAGCAGCAGCTACAGCAGCAGCTACAGCAGCAGCTGCAGCAGCAGTTACAGCAACTACAGCAGGAGCAGCAGCAGCAGCAGCAGCCCCTCCTGCGTAAACATGGCAGCACCCTCCTGAGTATCGAGTCTCTGTGAGGCTCTGCTGGGTTAACGAGAGGAATCGCAACAACAGTGATAATAATTCACACAACAACAACAACGACCTTTAACCTTTACCCTCCGACTATCCCACCCCCTCCTCCCCCCCACGACAGCGGAGCTGGCACAACGGTACCGCATCTCCAAGTACCCGACGATGAAGGTGTTCAAGAGCGGGCGGATGATGCGGCGCGAGTTCCGCGGGCAGCGCTCCGCCGCCGCGCTCGCCGACTTTGTGCGCCAGCAGACGCTCGATCCCGTGCTGCGGCTCGAAACCCTCGACCAGCTGGACGACATCGACGTGAGCCGCGCTCCACCCTGGATCCACCCCGGATCCACCCCAGATCCACCCCGGATCCACCCCGGATCCACCCCCTGATCCACCCCAGATCCACCCCGGATCCACCCCCCAGATCCACCCCAGATCCACCCCAGATCTACCCCTGATCCACCCCTGATCCACCCCCAGATCCACCCCCCTGATCCACCCCCAGATCCACCCCGGATCTACCCCCGGATCCACCCCGGATCCACCCCGGATCCACCCCCAGATCCACCCCAGATCCACCCCCAGATCCACCCCGGATCCACCCCGGATCCACCCCGGATCCACCCCAGATCCACCCCAGATCCACCCCGGATCCACCCCCCTGATCCACCCCTGATCCACCCCCCGATCCACCCCCCGATCCACCCCCCTGATCCACCCCCAGATCCACCCCCAGATCCACCCCGGATCCACTCCGGATCCACCCCAGATCCACCCCCGATCCACCCCGGATCCACCCCCCTGATCCACCCCCGGATCCACCCCGGATCCACCCCAGATCCACCCCAGATCCACCCCAAATCCACCCCCGATCCACCCCCGATCCACCCCAGATCTTGTTGTCTCTGCTCTAACTGTAATCTTGCTGTCTCTGCTCCGATTGCTCTTTGCTGTATTTTATTTACTTGCAAAGGAGACTCCTATCCCTAGCCTCTCTTCTCCTGTCTCCTGGGATCAATCATTTACACGAGGGACTTGCGCCGTGTCCTCTGAATTAGGCCGATCGTCCTGTGCGTGCGTGCGTCTCGCGTGGGTTGTGTGCGTGCTGCGTGTGCATGTCGTGCGTGCGCTTCTTGCGTGCGTGACGCAACACAGCGCAGCAAGAGGACGATCGTCGGCTACTTTGAGGAGCAGGAGGGGGAGAACTACCGCACGTTCCTGCGCGTCGCACACGTCCTGCGGGAGGACTGCGTCTTCTACGCCGCCTTCGGGTGCGCGCACACACGCGCACACACACGCACACACGCGCATACGCACATACACGCGGGCACACACGCGCAAGCTGCTGTATGTTCCGTTCCGTGCTAACGCAGCGTGTGTTCCGTTCCATGTGAACCCCATGTGTGTTCCGTGTAGGGACATCTCCAAGCCCGAGCGGTTTTCGGGAGACAACATCATCTACCGGCCAGCAGGGGTGAGGGGTCACCGCTCACGCGCACAGAGACCCACGGACTCCTCACACAGAGACCCACAGACTCCCCACACAGAGATCCACGGACTCGCGCAGAGACCCACGAACTCCTCACACAGAGACCCACGAACTCCTCACACAGAGACCCACGGACTCCTCGCACAGAGACCCACGGACTCCTCGCACAGAGACCCACAGACTCCCCGCACAGAGACCCACGGACTCGCACAGAGACCCACGGACTCGCACAGAGACCCACGGACTCACACAGAGACCCACAGACTCCTCGCACAGAGCCCCACGGACTCGCACAGAGACCCACAGACTCCCCGCACAGAGACCCACAGACTCACACAGAGACCCACGGACTCGCATAGAGACCCACAAACTCACACAGAGACCCACGGACTCACACAGAGACCCACAGACTCCTCGCTCAGAGCCCCACGGACTCACACAGAGACCCACGGACTCACACAGAGACCCACAGACTCACACAGAGACCCACAGACTTACACAGAGACCCACAGACTCAAACAGAGACCCACAGACTCCCCGCACAGAGACCCACGGACTCGCACAGAGACCCACAGACTCCTCGCACATAGCCCCACGGACTCGCACAGTGAACCACAGACTTACACAGTGACCCACAGACTTACACAGAGACCCACAGACTGCTCGCACAGAGACCCACGCACTCGCAGAAGGACGGCACGCGTGCGCCCGTGTCTCCGTTGTGGTGCCCCCAGGAGAAGAACCCGGACATGGTGTTCCTGGGCACGCTCAAGAACCAGGAGCTGCTGTTCGCGTGGACGCAGGACAAGTGCGTGCCACTCGTCCGGGAGATCACATTCGAGAACGGAGAGGTGGGTGCGGCGTCGCGTCTCCCTGGAGCCATCGCCACTGCTACCGCCGTCGCCACCACCGCCACCACCGCCACCACCGCCACCACTCCATATTGTCGCGTGGCCCCCACGATAGTTGTGATGGTTGTACGGCCGCGGGAGTGTGGTCCCCGCTCGTTGCAGAGGCTCACCGTCCGAATCCCGCGGGCCACCCTGGTTAATGCAGCATTGTACGTTCACCACAACACTGCCACACGCCGTCTGCATCACAGTAGATGGCACACGATGGCTCTTCTGGGGCGATCAAGTCCATATGTTGGCACGGGCGGGCGGGGCGATTGGTCCGTACGTTGGCGCGTGCAGGCGGGGCGATCGGTCCGTACGTTGGCACGGGCGGGCGGGGCGATCGGTCCGTACGTTGGCGCGTGCGGGCGAGGCGATTGGTCCGTACGTTGGCACGGGCGGGCGAGGCGATCGGTCCGTACGTTGGCACGGGCGGGCGGGGCGATCGGTCCGTACGTTGGCACGGGCGGGCGGGGCGATCGGTCCGTACGTTGGCGCGTGCGGGCGGGGCCATCGGTCCGTACGTTGGCACGGGCGGGCGGGGCGATCGGTCCGTACGTTGGCGCGAGCGGGCGGGGCCATCGGTCCGTACGTTGGCACGGGCGGGCGGGGCGATCGGTCCGTACGTTGGCGCGAGCGGGCGGGGCCATCGGTCCGTACGTTGGCACGGGCGGGCGGGGCGATCGGTCCGTACGTTGGCGCGAGCGGGTGGGGTTGTGCGACTGGCGCGTGACTGCGGTTGACGCCGGCGTTGCCGGGTGGCAGGAGCTGACGGAGGAGGGGCTCCCCTTCCTCATCCTCTTCCACAACCGCGAGGACGAGGAGACGCTCAGCCGCTTCCAGCTGGAGGTGGCGCGCCAGCTCATCAGCGAGAAGGGTACGCCGCTACCGCACTACCAGCACCACCAGCACCACCAACACCACCAGCACCAGCACCATCATCGCTAACATCAGCACTATCGCCGCCACTAACACCAGCACTACCACCACTAATGCTACCACTACTACCACTACCGTCACCACGATTGCTACCGTCAACACTGCCACCACCACTGCCACCACCACTGCCACCACCACTGTCACCACCACTGTCACCACCACTGTCACCAGCAACACTAGCACTCCCACCAGCGTTACGACCACTAGCGGGTGGGTTGGTGGATGAGCGATGTGGGTGGGTGGGCGGGCGAGAGGGCGGGCGAGTGGCTGGGCGAGTGGACGAGCGAGCGGCTGTTCGCAGGGTCGATAAACTTCCTGCACGCGGACTGCGAGAAGTTCCGCCACCCACTGCAGCACATCAACAAGAGTCCCAAGGACTGCCCCGTGATCGCCATCGACAGCTTCAAGCATATGTACGTGTTCCCCAACGTGAACGACATGATGTGAGTACCCGCAACGCTGGCACGTCCGCCCACTCACTCGCCCGCTCACTCGCCCGCTCACTCGCCCGCTCACTCGCCCGCTCACTCGCCTGCTCGCCGCGCACGGCCGCCCGCAAGCACACTGACCTGCACGCTCACTCGCTCACCCGCTCGCTCACTCACCCGCACGGCCACTAATTCACTAACTTATTCGTTCACGATTCACTCACACGTGTTCGCTCCCTACCTCGCTCACTTACACGCATACTCATTCACTCACTCGCATGCTCGCTCATCGTTTGACCGACTACGATTGTCCGCCTGTATCTGTCAAGCTGTCTGTCTTGCGTGTCTCTGTGTGTGTGGACATGCCGGCCTGAATAGGCGATCGCTCACAGCCCAACAGGCTGTTGAAGTATACGTACAGGGCATCCTTTATCTTTGGAGCGGTAGCGTAGTGGTTTGCGCACTGTGCTAAGAACCCGGTCAACATCGGTTGTTAATATCTGATCCGAGCCAAGGCCTCTCCTAGGTCGACTCGGTCTTAAATCAGTACCCGGTGCGTTGGGTAACTTCGCCACCGGGGAGACAAAGGCGGCCGGGCTCTGTTCCGGCCGCGCCAGCATCTCGTGCGCCGTTCCGGCCTCACCAGGGCGCTGGCCGACAGCGCTTGCCCCGGCGGGTCCTTGTGAGCTACACGGGGGACCTTTGTCTGTGTGTGCAGGGTGCCCGGCAAGCTGAGGCAGTTTGTGCTGGACCTGCACTCGGGAAAGCTGCACCGGGAATTCCACCACGGCCCCGACCCGACACAGGTGGTCGAGGAGCAGGTGAGGGGACACACACACACACACACTCTGACAGTGGTACACACACACTGGTACACACACACTGGTACACACACACACACAGTGACTGTGGTACACACACACTGGTACACACACACTGGTACACACACACTGGTACACACACACACACAGTGACTGTGGTACACACACACACAGTGGTACACACACACAGTGAGAGTGGTACACCCCCACACTGACAGCGGGACACACCCACTGATACACACACACAGTGGTACACACACACACAGTGACTGGTACACACACAAACACACAGTGACAGTGGTACACACACACACACACACAGTGACTGGTACACACACACACACACACAGTGACAGTGGTACACACACACACAGTGACAGTGGTACACACACACACACAGTGACAGTGGTACACACACACACAGTGACAGAGGTACACACACACACACAGTGGTACACACACACACAGTGGTACACACACACACAGTGACAGTGGTACACACACACACAGTGACAGTGGTACACACACACACAGTGACAGTGGTACACACACACACAGTGACAGTGGTACACACACACACAGTGACAGTGGTACACAAACACCAGTGACACACACACATAGTGACAGTGGTACACACACACACAGTGACAGTGGTACACACACACACAGTGACAGTGGTACACACACACATAGTGACAGTGGTACACACACACAGTGACAGTGTTACACACACACAGTGACAGTGTCACACACACAGTGACACACACACAGTGACAGTGGTACACACACACAGTGGTACACACACACAGTGGTACACACACACAGTGACACACACACAGTGGTACACACACACAGTGACAGTGGTACACACACACAGTGGTACACACACAGTGACAGTGGTACACACACACACAGTGACAGTGATACACACACACAGTGACACACACAGTGACAGTGGTACACACACACAGTGATACACACACACAGTGACAGTGATACACACACACAGTGACAGTGGTACACACACACACAGTGACAGTGGTACACACACACAGTGATACACACACACAGCGGTACACACACACACACAGCGGTACACACACACGCAGTGACAGTGGTACACACACACACAGTGACAGTGGTACACACACACACAGTGACACACACACACAGTGACAGTGGTACACACACACACAGTGGTACACACACACAGAGGTACACACACAGTGACAGTGGTACACACACACACCGTGACAGTGGTACACACACACACACAGTGACAGTGGTACACACACACACAGTGACACACACACACACAGTGACAGTGGTACACACACACAGTGACAGTGGTACACACACACAGTGACACACACACACACAGAGACAGTGGTACACACACACATACAGTGACAGTGGTACACACACACACACAGTGACAGTGGTACACACACACAGTGGTACACACACAGTGACAGTGGTACACACACACACAGTGACAGTGGTACACACACACACACATTGACAGTGGTACACACACACACAGTGACACACACACACACAGTGACAGTAGTACACACACACACACACAGTGACAGTGGTACACACACACAGTGACACACACACACACAGAGACAGTGGTACACATACACAGTGACAGTGGTACACACACAGTGACACAGCAGTGTGCATGGTCATATAGACACAGCATCACGTGGTTGCTCTGCCCCCCCTCGCCCCCCGACCCCGCCGTCCCCTCCCCGTGTAGTTTTTGGTGGAGTCCAGTGACCCCCCAGAGAGCTCCTTCCAGAAGCTGGCCCCCAGCGACCGTCGCTACACCATCCTCAAGAGAGACCGCGACGAGCTCTGAGACGACCCCACCGCCTCGCTCACCACCTCGCTCACCACCTCGCTCACCACCTCGCTCACCACCTCGCTCACCACCTCGCTCACCACTCGCCGCACCACTCTCCTCCTCCCTTACCTGCCGGTCACTTCACTTCAACCTGACTCACCTCTCGCTGACCTCCCGCTGTCCTTAGCCCTCGCCTGTTGCTCACCACCTCTCACCGTGCACTCGGCTTGCCCTCCTTACCCCTTCCTCACCGTCAACAAACGGCCCCGAAGCTCCCAACACCGTCACCAACACCACCCCCGTCCTCACCGCCACCCTCACCGCCACCCTCACCCGCCCTCCACCCTCACCGCCACCCTCACCCGCCCGCCACCCTCACCCGCGCACCTCCACCCTCACCGCCACCCACTCCGCCACCCACACCGCCACCCACACCGCCACCCTCACCGCCACCCTCACCGCCACCCTCACCCGCCCGCCACCCTCACCGCCACCCTCATCCTCACCCGCCCGCCACCCTCACCCGCGCACCTCCACCCTCACCGCCACCCTCACCCGCCCTCCACCCTCAATCGCGCACCTCCACCCACACCGCCACCCACACCGCCACCCTCACCGCCACCCTCACCGCCACCCTCACCCGCCCGCCACCCTCACCCGCGCACCTCCACCCTCGCACCGCCACCCTCACCGCCACCCACACCGCCACCCACACCGCCACCCACACCGCCACCCTCACCCGCCCGCCACCCTCACTGCCACCCTCACCGCCACCCTCACCGCCACCGTCACCGCCAATCCTCACCCTCACCCACACCGCCACCCTCACCGCCACCCTCACCGCCACCCTCACCGCCACCGTCACCGCCAATCGTCACCGCCACCCACACCGCCACCCACACCGCCAATCGTCACCGCCACGGGGAACTATCCTCGGAAGCCCCACGGCTGTTTTTGCGAGTGGCAGCAGTGACGCGGTTTGAGGGGGGGCACAATCACTACCACGCGTTTCCCCGGGTGGATATCCGCGGAACGATTCTTCATCTCGGAGAGTTCCGTGCACGTTCAGAGAGCTATGAGAGGGGGGGGGGGGCGGGGTTGGGGGGGGGGGTTGGGCAGGGGGGGGGGTGGGTTGGGGGAGGGGAGGGAGTCACTCCGGGCTTCCGAGGATCTTTACTTCCATCCCATCCCGTGCCGGACAGCCGGACGCTTCCCCGGGTGCGTGCGTCGCGTGGGTCAGTGTATCGTCCCATCGCTGGGAGAGGAAGGGGGGGAGAGAGTCGCAGGTCGCTAGCAAACGCTTCCGACTCGTTTCTCCGGTTTGGGTCTTCCCATCGATGTTCCCGGCGGGGTGTTACGCCTGAGTTTACAAGGTCACGCGAGGTTATGGCGTTAGAACGGTCACGGCGACGACGACGACGACGACGACGAAGAGGTGCATAAGTAGCGGCGGGGTTTGGGTTGGGGTCGGGCTGTAAAACGCGCCCGGAAAGTCGCTGTTCCACCGCCCGGGTTGGTAGTCGGCGGGGACCTCTCCGCCGTCAGGAAGCCGCGTTGGAGAGATTCGAGGGGACGTTGTTTGGCCCGGGGGAACAACTCGGTCGGTTCGGGGGGGAGAGTCTCGATCCCCAGAGCGGCCCGGGTCGTGAGACGCCGCATGGCCGGCGTGGAGCAGGGTGAGCGGCGACGCCGGGCGGTTTACCCACGAGTCCCCTTCCCGTGCGGTGCCCACCAACATCGCCATCGCGTCCACCACCACCACAATCATCGCCCCACCATCATCGTCATCGCCACCACAATCGTCATCCGCCACCACAATCGTCGTCGACCGTCAAGGCTGCGGTCCTCGCCCGGACGATCTCCGCGTCTCACCGCTGCTCACTCCACTCACTCCACTCCCCTCCCCCGCGGGCGACAGAGCCGGCGGGCGAGCGGGCGAGTGGGTCGCTCGCCGCCGCCCCTCGCCGCCGGGGGGAGCCAGGCCGGCCGAGCGTGGATCTTCGTCCCCGGTTTTGTCGCCTGGACGGACGGAGCCGCTCACCCGGGGCGGATGGGCGCTCCGCACCGTCCCGCCCTGCCGTCGCGGCCGGCAGACTCTTGCCATCGGCCCGACGCCGGCGTGCTGACGACGAGACCCCACTCGGCCTGGGTTGGTCCGACCAGCATCAGCTGCGAGCAGCCGAGCCCAGGAAACTAGAAAGCGCTCCCCGCTCGATGGACGGAAAGGCACGTGGGAGGTGGGTCGTAAACAGCGACAGTGGCAGCAGCGTCAACAGGGTCATCAGCAACAGCGTCATCAGCAGCAGCTAGCTCTGTGTCTCCTCTGGTGCCGTGCCGTGGTTGCGTGTTCAGCGCAACCTCCAGCGTTTCGCCGCAGGGGCCGGGAGCTCCTGAAGAAGCTCCCGGGCACGCGAAGCGAAACGTCGGACATGGCGCCGAAAAGGGCAGGCGGCGCCGGGACCCGACGGCAACGGCGCAACCACGGTTGTACCGTGGCACAACCGCGGCACAACCACGGCACAACCCCGCATCTACTGTTGACTCTGACTGCTGTCACCAGGCACCTCATCAAGCGCCAAGGGATGACGACGATGACGACGATGGGTCATGTTGATCTTTAAACAGGGTTGGCACTTGTGGCTTTTCCGGTTGACCACAGCCGACGGCAAGTTACCGCGCGACCACGTTTGCGACCGCATTAACACGTTACCACGCTGCCACGTGCACTCATGTGTTAACACGTTACCGCACTCCCGCTCGCGCTCGCGCGTGAACACACGACCGTGCTACCACGTGTGCGAGCACGTGACCACGCTACCACGTGCGTCAACACGTGACCGCGCTCCCGTGTGTTCCCGCGCTGTTGCCGCTGCTCGACGTTTTGCCGCGCGCGCCGGGACCTCCTCCAGGAGCTCGCGAAGAGCCGCGTCGATTCGGATCGTGCGGCCAGCGCTTGATTTCAGCCGGAACCCGGCACATCGCATCGAGTATACCCCTCGCTGCCGGCCGTGGCTGCCGGGCGCACGCACGCACGTGCCAGCCGGCGACCCGGAAATTTACCCAGTGACCAAATTGAGCCCTTGGGCTGCACGAAACTGCAACTGAATCTCCGTCCGACCACCAGGTTGGACGCGTCTGTGGCGAACGGCCGCTCGCCACTCACAGTGGAGGATGGACTGCCCCCCCCCCTGCCCCCTCCCCACTCCCCCCCTGCCCCCTCCCCGCCCCCCCTGCCCTGTCGGGTGGCGATCTCCGAGCGACTTGTTCCATCGTCACGGCGACCTGCAGAGGAGGTCGCCACAGAGCCACGTGCAGGTTCCGTTGAACGTCGAGTGTCCGTTCGTTTTTGACCGTTCATTGAAAAGGAAGCAAAGTGACCAATGAGCCGAAGCGTGCGAGGTGTGTGGGTGTGTGTGGTGAGTGGGTGGTGAGGGGCTGGTGTGGTGGGTGGTGAGTTGGTGGTGAGGGGCTGGTGGTGTGGTGGTGGGTGGTGTAAATAGCGGTGGTGGCACCGTGAGACTTGGACGTAGACGAAAACGGCGACAATTCCCCTTCACAAATCTCGCTCCCCACATTACAACAAAAAAGAAACCGAACTATATTTTTGTACACATCCGATCCGGCTACACACTGCCTTCTGGGAGTGCAATCCAATCGGCAGCGTTGGTTCAACACGAGCGCAACGCTGGACCGATTTCGACACCCGGCTTCTCGTCAACAGAGAGCCAGGCTCTTTGCTCGAACCAATGCTGGCGGACTTCCGGCCATTTTTAGCGAACCGGGCCGGTCAATCCGAGCCTTGCCCTGACCTCTGACCCCCCCAGCGCTGACGACTTGACGATTCCACTGTTGGCCGGCCGGGTCGCGTTCCGTGCTCCGCTGTGCCCCATGTGGACCCCCCCCCCCCCCCCCCCCGGGTCCCGCTGCCAAGCCTCGGCCGAGCATTGCTGATACGGGGCGTCTGGAACTGCCCCGGGCCCCCCACCGACCCCCTCCCCTCTCCCGCGTAGGTTGACTCCGTTGTAAACGAGCAACTTGGTGTCACGTTGCGTTCAAATTGACGTGGGTGGGAAGGTGGTCATGGGTACAGCTCCACCATCATCCCCGTTGCGTGCCCTGTCCCCCGGCCTTACTAGGTGCTCGCTAACTGCACTCGCCCCTGCGGGTCTGCGAGGCTAAAAGGGGTGAGGGGAGGGGGGTGGTGGTGGAGGAGGAGACCGTGGCCCCAGCTTACGTGTGGGACAGCCACAGCGACGGGCCGACTCGAGTTGTTGTTGACGAGTTCCGCGTTGTCCTGATTTCTTGAAGAACTTCCAAGCCGACTGCAAAATAAAAGTTCATTTGGACGATTTGCGGAGTTGCCCGCGTACACACCCCCCCCCCACCCCCGGGGGGAAGAGGGGTGGGGGGGGGCAGCCCCCCCCCCAACAGGAGCCACCTGCCCCCCCAGTCCCCGTGATCTCTCGCAGTTGATTCCAAATCAGAGGTCGCAACCGGGTACCCGATACCCAGCGACCCGTACCCGCGGGTACGGGTACCCGTTTGCGACCCTGGTGCGGCCGGGTACGGGTAAGGAATCAAAACCCGTTTGCGACCTCTGTTCCAAATCGACCCCCGAAACGAGACGGATCGCGCGGGGGCTGCCCCGGTTTAGAACAGAACCCGCGGATTGTCATCGTCATTCACCCAGCACAGCCTCGCCGGGCCCCGTGTCTCTTTCAGAAGGCCCCCGGTGCCCCCCCCCCCCCCCCCAACGTTAATAGCAAACGCCAGGACGGCCGCTGGATTCGAACCGCGAACCTCTTCTGCTCTGGGCGGGGCCCCCGTTCGATCAACCGTGACACGCCGCAAGTCCACGGCCCACGTGGGCGGGGGGGGGGGGTTCTCAGGCTGCCCTGGCTCACACGGGGAGCTCTGTTTGTGTCTTTATCGTGTACGTGTCGGTGCGGGGGGGGGGTTACCGTGTGTGTTTTCTGGAGAGTGAAGTCATTCGTTTTTAGCGTCCCTCTCGCATCATCCGCGTTCCCCGAGATGTTCCGGCTCCGCTTTATCCGAGAAGGCGCCCGCCGTTCGCCGTGGCGGCAAGTGACCTCGCCAGGCACGCGGCTCGCTCCCACTGTGAACACATCGCTGGAGACGCCGTGGCCTTGACAGAAGTATGTGATGTGCGCGACGTTTTAGGCAATGCCCCTTCTTCATGGCGCGTAAAGAGAGAGGCCGGGAGGGAGACGGTGTGGATGATTACATTGGCAGGCTGCGCTTGTTGTACCACGTGGGGCCCCGCTGAGAATCGCACGCCGATGACCAGCTGTGAAATTGAAGTTGTGAATAATTATCAGCCGGCACTCGTGGTGGCGAGGGAAAAACAGACAACGCTCTTTCGGCGATCGGCAAAAGTATGTCGATCAAGTAAACGTGTTTACATTCGACGAACAATTATAATAATAAAAAACGTTATCGCATCCTGGGTTAAACCACGTTAACGAAATCAATCGTAATACACTTGGGGAGGCGTTTGCCGGTCCCGGGGGGTTCGGATTCGTGACCCTCGGGGGCGCGTGGCGGCGGCGGCGTGGCACCAGTGCCAATCCACTGCTGGATGAGGATCTCCCGTGCCGACGCCGTCCCTTGGCGTCTTGGAATCAATTAAAACGGAGATCCAAAAAAAAACACGATGCCTCACCCCCACGCCCCCCCCCCCCCCCCCCTGTTCCGAGCGGTTGCTGCGATGGCAATGTCCACAGTTGTCCGTGTTGGCATCTGTCGCTCGTGTATGTAGAGCGTCTTTCGCACCGTACGTAGGCAAACCTGTGCTAATCGGAGGTGCCGGGTTAAGGACAACAAACTAAAAAAATCCGGTGGCGTTTGGCGACCAGGCGTCGATGGGAGCGATGGTGTGCCGGTGCGAGCGCGGCCTGCGATGGTCACGGCATTACCACGCGGGCAGATTCCACCCGTTCCTCACCCCTCTGTTCTCTCAGCATGAACGTGCAAGAAGTTACACGTCCCACGCGGCCGTCTGTCTGGTGGGAGTGGCTGCATTTCGGTAGCAGTGCTTCAGAAGGCTGATGGGGGCATGTGTAAATATTGTATATTTTACGTGGAAGGACGGATGGGGGGGAGGGGGTGCGGGATAATTGCCTGAAGTCAGTTTCATTACTTCCTTGCTCATCTTCACGACGACGTTCACGACTGCTTGTACATGATGTTACGAACGCGACTTTAACAGACAGCGTAGACACAACGAAGTGGCGTTCGCGTAAATGACGACGTCGATGATGCTGCGACATCATCCTAGCGAGCCGAGGAATGCGCGGGTTGACACGCGGTGCCGATCCGCGGATCAGATGTTCCAATCCGTGGGCTTTGGTCAGAAATCCCAATGAAATATTCCTAGGGGGGGGCACGGTAGCAGCAGAACTCGAACCTCTAGAAAATCCTTTGGGTAAGGCACGGTGGGAGGGGTAATGGGTGGGTGGGGGCAGTAGGGCGGGTGGGGTGGAGGGGGGGGAAGGTACTCCGTGAATAAAATGACTTATTTTATTGTTTTTAAGCGACAGATTCTTCTTTTTTTGTGGCCGCTTCGTTCGTTGCGGTTGCAGGGAGAGTGCAAGGGTGTGCCTCGGCAGGATGGCGTGAAGCAGAGGTCGCAAACGGGTTTTGATTCCTTACCCGTACCCGGCCGCACCAGGGTCGCAAATGGGTACCCGTACCCAGCCGGGTACGGGTACCCGTTCCCTATCCGTACCCTACCCGAAATGAGTGACAAACGGTTACTCACCAGTGACTCACGGCCTACCCGTACCCGGCCGCGCCAGGGTCACAAACGGGTATCGGGTAGGGTACAGGTATCGGGTACCTGGTTGCGACCTCTGGCGTGAAGCAACTTGGAGGGTGGGGGAAAGAAGTGGCCGCTGGATAAAACCTTGTTGGGTGGCGCGACAAGGAGGTTGGGATCGATGTTGAACCAGGACCAGTGCCGCTTGCAAGGATGCGCGCTCAGCAGGGTGCGTGGCTGCGAAGGGACCCGCTTGCGGGGAAGGAGGCCAAAGTGACTTCTTGCTCGTTTATTTTGTAACTCGTAATCTCCACAGCAACATCAAGTGCTCGTCACAAGCCCAATGTGCAAAAAAAACCGTTACTTTTGTGCAGTCATTGGTGACCATCATCAACAACATCAATAACTTAGCATTCGTAACAGCGCTTGCCCCAAACACCTCCGCAACTCCTATCGCTTTACTTCAGACCTCCACAAAGTGCACGGGACCCCCCCCTCCTCCCCAGCAAAACAAACCCTCGCCTCCTAGGAAAACAATTTGCCCTGTGTGCCTAGCGCACCGCAGGGTAGCCAGCCATGCCCCTCGCCTGGCACAGGGAGCACAGCGAGCCGTCGAATGACGGTCAAACCGTCGTTAGATTTCTCAGGAATCACAGGAGGTGGAATGCAGCCAAACTAAGTGCAGGAGGCCAACAGAGAGCGATGGGTGGCCAGGCCGAGACCACAGACTCCTCACGCAACGCCGGAGGAGACCTCAGCAACCCCAAAGCCCACCCGGTCCACATCGGTCAACCCCAACATTGAAAAAAAACTTCTCCGGGACCAGCAGGAGTGTGGGGGGCTTACGTACAGCCCCCCACGGGGCGGCCACGTGGGAGCATATCACTAGTCCCGCTTCTCCCGCTCCTGCCGCCGCCTTTCGCGCCGCCGCTCCTTCCACTTCTGGATGATCGTTCCGCCCGTGAAGCCGATGAGGCTTCCGCTGATGACGGCCGCGATGGCGGCCACTTTGAGTCCGGTGAGAAAGCCGAGGGGCCCGGCCACGACGCCGCCGATGAGAGCCCCGGCCATGGGCCACGCCGCCACCTGCGCCGCAGGAGAACCAACGTCAGCTGCCGGCGGTGATGCCATCGGCGCCACGGATACCCCCATTTACTCTCAGGAGAAACCGTGTACTCGCACAGACACCCGCGGAGGATCAGACACCCACGCACCCCAGCACCCCAGCAGGGACCCCATAAATGTATGCCCCCCGAGTGGCGACGCACCATAGCCAAGTCCCGCACGCTGTCACCCTCGCCGCTCCGCCCGGGCCGGCCCGTCCCCTCTGTGCCACCGCCACCGCCAGCTCCTCTCCTCAGGATTCCCTGGGTGTGGGGGGCAGGGGTGGGTGAAGGGGGCGTGGGAGCAACACGGGTGTGGGGGGGGGGGGGGAATCGATCAAGTGTTAAGACGATGGCCTGAGGCTATTCAAACGGTTACAAGTCCCATAGGTTAGAGTGGCTGGGTGGACGCGAGTTAGTGAATTCGGTGGATGGGTGGTTGAGTTAAGAGGGTGGGTGAGAGTATAAATAGCACACCACGCACAGCTGTGCCGCTAAGACAGCTGGGATCCAGGACTCCCCATCCACATGCCGTGCGCGCCATGCCACGACCACCGCCACCACACGCTGCGCGTACAACCTGCTCAGCCTTGTCTAGACCACAAACTCACAAGAGCTCATGTGTGGCCATCCTTTCGGGCATGCCAGTACAGGCTCCTTTGCTGGGATACTCAATGGTGCGGCCTTCATTAGGTGCTGGCTAACAGCACTTGCCCCAACAGTATGTTCAGGCTATACAGGGGATCTTTATCTTTGCGTGTAAACTCACCGATGGCAGACGGACTTCCTTGTCGTGAAGCATCTCCAAGAGCTCCTCCAAATCCTGCCAAAGATAAAACCCCAAAACACACACACACACGAGCACCGATCAGACAGCGCGCGCGATCGTCTCCACAGTTGCGGATCACAGGAGGCCCAAAAGCAGAAGATGCCAAGCAGCCAGCAACAAACAGCACTGGAGTTGTAAAAGAAGATGAGAGTTATTAACAGGTTCCTTGAATTGAGCGAGGGTTTTTTTTTATTGAGAGCTTGGGGGGAAAGACGACGATGATGGGAGGGAATTTGTAGAGTGGAGCATTGTGAGGGCAAGGGGTGGGAAGAGAAGGGAGGTTGACCTGCAGTGTGGTGATTAAGCAATCTACAGTGTGGTGGTTGAGCGGGTAGGTGGGTGAGCGAACGAGCGGGTGGGCGAGCGAGCGGGTGGGTGAGCGAGTGGGTGGGTGAGCGAACGAGCGGGTGGGCGAGCGAGCGGGCGGTAGTGCGAGCGGGTGGGTGAGCGAGCGGGTGGGTGAGCGAGCGGGTGGGTGGGTGGGTGAGCGAGCGGGTGGGTGAGCGGGTGGGTGGGTGTGCGAGTGGGTGGGTGTGCGAGCGAGCGGGGGGGTGGGTGAGCAAGTGGGTGGGTGAGCGAGCGGATGGAGGTGCGAGCGGGTGGGTGAGCGAGTGGGTGTGCGAGCGAGCGAGCATTGTAACCTGCAGTGTGGTGGTTAAGCGAGCGAGTGGGCGAGTGCCGTTTTGTCAACGAGCGGGTAGTTGAGCGAGTTAAGCGAGCCTCTTGCTGCGAGTCACGCGGGAGGGCTTCTGGGAGCCAGGCGACGCAGATTCCTCACCAGCCGCAGAGTGGTCCAAGACTCCGACGCCGCGTGGCCCCGTGGCCTCTCGGGCAGGGGCGGCCTCGGGGCGTCGCCCTCCTCCCTGAGCCCCGACTCGAACAGCGACACTGCGTTTTCTTTAACTGAAGACAACTTACAATTAGCATTGCGTTTTTGGAAATGTACACAACTGTTATTGAACAGGTCAAGACTTATAACGACGAGGGCAGCAGGGAGGCGCAGTGTTGATACTCGCGGCCCAGTCAAGAGGCGCTGGGTTCGATTCCCTACTCGGGCACATTTATACGTGGAGTTCATGTTCTTCCCCTGTTCTGAGTGGGTTTTCTTCCATAGATAAAAAAAACACACAAAAACATAACTGGTGTTTTGACTTAAAACTTTCGTGACTGCAGGAATTCATATTCTTAGTTCTTTTTTTGGTAAAGTCACGTAAAAGAAAAAAAAATTAAATTGAAAATAAAAGCAAAAAACCCACAATAAAAATGTAAAAAGTTAAATCAAATTCTAAATAAATTTAAAACAATTATTTTGTATTTAATTAAAAAATTTTATTTTACTATCTTTATTGTGGATTTTTTAACTTTAATTATTTTCAATTTATTTTATTTTACGTATTTTTTTTTTTTTCTATTCACGTGACTTTACTGAAAGAACCAAGAATATAACTGGCGTTGCCTAAAACATTCCAAAATTACTGAATCTGGGATCACACAACAGCAACATTGCCCTCTCCTGCAAAAAACCGTATGGGAGACCGAGGCTTTGCTTGATAAACAAGCAAAGCAATAATAATAATTAATAATGATCCCGACAGTAACACGGAGACTGTTTTCTGCATGCGGCAGTGGGCTGGGGCAGCACAAGCTCGGCTTCTGCGGTGCGAACACAATCATGGCGCTTCTTCTGGAGCCATGCGGGACCCAGCTCGGCCCCAGTGCGGTGAGCGATCGAACCCAGTGGGAAAGGGCCGTGAGGCACAGGCATCCCCCACCGCCCCCCCCCCCGCGCTCACGCACACTCATTGGGGAGGCTTTGCGGTCCCAGCTGCTCCGTAGCGGCCGAGCAGGAGAAGGAACGCCGCTCCGTGTAGCCGGCAAAGTCGCTGGGCGAGGGGCAGCTGGTGATCATGCGCTCTCCCGCCGACGGCGGCTGCCGTCCCCCTCCATCGGCGCCGCTCCCCGCTCCGCAGAAACCTGCGTAGTGACGACAGCGCCGCCGCCAGCAGCGATGATCGATTACACTGGTCACACACTTTTTCTGGCATAAGGTATTCTAACTGTTTTGGGGTGCCGATTCCAAATCTGGCATCAGTTTTTGTCTATCACATCAGGTTTTTGAGATATCAAATATTGCATTTTCAATAAAAACTGCAGAAGAAAAATATTTAAAAAATGTGGATATCTACATAACATGATATTATAAACACACCATCCTAAAAATACAGCACAATATTTTAACACTAAAGCAGTCACTGACTCGCAACAACTTGCAATTATAAGTGACAGAGTTAATTTCGGGTAAAATCAATGAAAATGGGGTATGCCGATAGCATAAAAACTACAAGTAAACCCGTAAAAACAAAGTTTTTCACTCTAAATCCATTATATGCGTGGCGGCTAGAGTCCTCTCGTCCTCTGGCTTGAGATGGCTGCCACCTATGGGTCAAATGATTGTCTGCCAGTATTAAGCAATTGGTAATTAAATATTTAATTAGTTTTCCCTAAACAGTGTCAAATTTTGGAAACATTTTTTCACGAACATTAATTGTCTCGCACAACGAGTCTGTGTGCAAAATGTCAGCTCGATTGGATCACGGGAAGTGGGTTAAAAAACGACCGAAAGATTTGCACGGTCGTAAGCAAGCAAGCAAGCACGCAAGCAAGCAAGCATGCGAACTTAATATAAAGGATTCAAAAATGACATGTGATAGAGCAAATGCTGAGATCAGATTTGGAATCAGCACCCTGAAATTAGTCTAGAACAGCTGCAAAAGTCCAGGCCAGAATTTTTTTTTTTTGATAATTGGTTTTTTACCCTTCTATCTGGCAACAAAACTGACACTTTTTTTTACAAGGAGTCATGTTTGCATAGACCACAATACCTGCAGCCATAATGCAAACAAAAAACATAACTCTGATAATATATGCACTGTCCTTGAAGTTGATTGGTCCACACCCAATATCATATTTTTTACTGGCAAATGAGGTTCCAATGGTGTTTTTTTTTTTGTTGACCAGTGTCATCCGGCTCCAACTCAGACCCGGTTTTTGCAGTCGATCACGCGGCCGCCCCCACGAGCCTGCCTCCCAAAGGTGGGAAACCCCCGAGGAGCCACACCCAGCCCGACGCGGTTGACGATACCGCCGAGCCTGGCCCATCACCTCCCGTCCAGCGGTACACGGTGGAACAGAGGCGAGGCACGCCTCCCCTATTCTCGTGTTATGCGACCCGCAGCAAAACACTCTCCGCCAAGCACGCCGCGGGGCGAGAAGCGCCGTGTAAACCGAGGTGGGCCAGAGGTCGCAAACGGGTTTTGATTCCTTACCCGTACCCGGCCACACCAGGGTCACAAACGGGTACCCGTATCCGGCCGTACCCGTACCCTACCCGTACCCAGCCGGGTACCTGATTGCGACCTCTGGGATGAAGCCACGTTGCAGGCACGGGTGGGTTGATTCTAGGAACTTGAATTGTGAGAAGAGACAAGACTTTGGGAAATGAGTGATAAACGGTGACTCACCAGTGACTCACGGCCTACCCGTACCCGGCCACACCAGGGTCACAAACGGGTACCCGTATCCGGCCGTACCCGTACCCTACCCGTACCCAGCCGGGTACCTGATTGCGACCTCTGGGATGAAGCCACATTGCAGGCACGGGTGGGTTGATTCTAGGAACTTGAATTGTGAGAAGAGACAAGACGTTGGGAAATGAGTGATAAACGGTGACTCACCAGTGACTCACTGGCCTACCCGTACCCGGCCACACCAGGGTCGCAAACGGGTACCTGTACCCGGCCGGGTACGGGTAGCCAGGTATCGGGTAGGGTACAGGTATCGGGTACCCGGTTGCGACCTCTGAGGTGGGCTCAGACCGGTGCTCACCGGGTGCCCCTCCCCCCCCCAGGCCCAGCAGGAGGGTGACGGTGAGCCGGGCCTCGCGCCGCGCGGGCCGCACCGTCCGCTCGAACACCAGCCCGTCGCCCGGCACCACCAGCTCCCGCAGCTTCTCCACCTCCCGCACGTTCATCAGCAGTTGCTGTGACACGCCGCGCGCACACACACACAGACGACGACGACGGGGGTTTTTTCCCGCTCTCGTCAATTTCTCCATTTACCTTCTTGGTTCTTTCGGTAAAGTCACGTAGAAGGGAAATAATTAAATAATAAAAATAAAACATAATAAAATAATTCTCGCGACGTTTCGGCCACAACGCAAGCAGCCGTCCTCAGGTGAAGACCAGGTCTGTCGGGGAGACAGCGTCTGAATCACTCAGGGAGACAGTGTCTGAATCATTCAGACGCTGTCTCCCTGACAGACCTGGTCTTCACCTGAGGACGGCTGCTTGCGTTGTGGCCGAAACGTCGTGAGATTTATTTTATTATGTTTTACTTTTATTATTTTATTATTTCCCTTCTACGTGACTTTAACGAAAGAACCAAGAAGATGAATCCCTGCAGTCACGAAAGCTTTAAATCGAAATTTCTCCATTTACATTCTTTCATCTCCCCCACCGCCGCCGCCCCACAAAGTTTATCCCGATTAGGGAGCTGCCACAGTGGGGGTCAAGGTTCAGCGCACTGGACTTGCAATCCAGGGGCTTCCGTTTCAAATCCATCTCCCGGCAAGGCAATTGAAACAACGGTGCGGGTTTCTTAAATCCCCCCCCCCCCCCCCCTCCAGCTTCATAAATTTGTGCAACCGCAGTCTGTGATCACGTGCGGTGGGGTGAAAGTGTGGGTACGTAAAACCTCTTCGAACACGTCTGGTCGGCGTGGAAGAGACCAAATACCATGTATTGTGGAGGCCCCCTTCCACCAGCGGTGGACAGATCGTGGCCGATGACGACGGCGAGCGTGCGTTCTCACCTGCACCGTGCGCCGAGCGTTCACCTGCTCCTGGTGAAGCCGGTCCCACTCGCACAGACGGCACAGCTGCACGCGGCACGCGGGGCAAAGGTCACGGTCAACGGGTCTTCGCGGTCAAGAGGCCAAAGGGTTCTTGTTAAAGTTGTGGGTTATGGTTTCGATTTAAAGCTTTCGTGACTGCAGGGATTCATCTTCTTGGTTCTTTCGGTAAAGTCACGTAGAATGGAAATAATAAAATAATAAAAATAAAACATAATAAAATAATTCTATTTTATTATGTTTATTATGGGAGACGCTGTCTCCCCGACAGACCTGGTCTTCACCTGAGGACGGCTGCTTGCGTTGTGGCCGAAACGTCGTGAGAATTATTTTATAATGTTTTATTTTATTATTTCCATTCTACGTGACTTTACTGAAAGAACCAAGAAGTTGTGGGTTATGATTGAGCGCGGGGGGTTGTGGGGGAGGAGGGGGGAGGGGTCGGTGGGGCACCCTCTCCACGTTGAGCCGGTGCTTGTCGAGGCGCTGTGCGTCGGTGGGGATGGCGACCTTCACGAACTTCTGCAGCAGCGGCTCGAGGCGCGGGAACGGAACGCTCGGAGGCGCGGACGGAGCGGGGCACTCGGCGGCCATCGCGACGCGCTGGAGGGGGGCGGACCGCAAGGATCGGGGGCACAGAGACAGAAACACGGTCACTTTGGGGACAAGCGCTGATCGCGAGTGGCACCTACCAGAGGTCGCAACCGGGTACCCGATACCCGTACCCTACCCGATACCCGGCTACCCGTACCCGGCCAGGTACGGGTAGCCGTTTGCGACCCTGGTGCGGCCGGGTACGGGTACAGGTAGGCCGTGAGTCACTGGTGAGAAACCGTTTGTCACTCATTTCGGGTAGGGTACGGGTAGGATACGGCTACCTGTACCCGGCCGGGTACGGGTACCCATTTGCGACCCTGGTGCGGCCAGGTACGGGTACGGGTAAGGAATCAAAACCCGTTTGCGACCTCTGGCGCCTACGAAGGCCGGCATGGCACATGGCGGGGTGGGTGGTCGGCACCAATCACGGCCCAGCTTTGGCTCTCAAGTGGCAAAGTTTGCGCATCGCACCGGGCACACATTCGAGGCCGAGGCGACCAAGGGGAGGGCTCGCGAACCAGTTCAGGTCATCGTTACTGGCGTTGGTGGCCGTGATCGGGAATCAAATTCCGGTCGCGCCAGGGTTCGGAGCGCACCACGCTAAGCAATAAGCTGCCGTTCCCCCGCGAAACACACACGGACACCCAACCCATTCGTCACGTGCTGTTCTGGGGGTGGGGGACAGGGCTCGGCGCAGGCTCCCTCGGGTTAATGGGTTCACATCGGGTAACAGTCGTTAATAGTGGCCGGGCGCCGCTAATGAGTTGAGTGATAGGTTCAGGCAGCGGAGCGAGGGAGGCAGCATTACCATAGCGGGGAGGGTGGTGGGGGGGGGCTCGTGTAGGATGTTCAGCAACGTGCGGAGGTCAAGGCGCAGCCCTGCAATTGCTCCCTCGCGCCACTGAGTACCCACACTTTACCCCACCACGCTCGGCTTGCCGATCGACCGCACGTGTGAACGCCGATAAATTATAATTCCAGAAACGAAGAGGCGGGAACAAAATCGATAGACCGGTGAAGGGCACATTCATCTTTTTTTTTCCTTCCACATTATACTCCGTGTTGCAATCAACGCTCGTATGTTTTGTTTTTATCCCCTAAATTATATATCCCGATTGTGCCATCGGTGTTGTCAACAGGGAACTGGAAAGGCCCAATCATGTGGGGTTATCTCTAACCCACCCCCCCCTCCCCAAGCAAGGGGTGAGAGTAAATGACCCTATCATCGGGGCAGAAAGTCACCCAACACGTTGCTCATGACCAGGTTGGCGGTAAATGCGCAAAACAAAGACAAAGATCCCCCGTATAGCCCGACAGACTGCTGGGGCAAGTGCTGTTAGCGATCTTGATTTGAAGCTTTCGCGACTGCAGGAATCGCCGTGATTTATTTTATTTTTTTATATCGACGTGACTTTACCGAAAGAACCAAAGAGTAAAGACAAAGATCCCCCGTATAGCCCGACAAACTGTTGGGGCAAGTGCTGTTAGCGAGCACCTATGAAGGCCAGAACGGTACACGAGGGGGTGGGTGGCCAGCATCACGCCCGACCGCCTTTGTCTCTCCAGTGGCGATGTTTACACACCGCACCGGGTACTCATTTGAGACCGAGTCGACCTAGAGGAGGCCCAGAACCGGTTCAGATAATCGTCTCTGGTGTTGGCCGTGAGCGGGAATCGAACCCGGGTCGCCGGGTTCATAGCGCAGCGCGCTAACCGCTACACTACCGCTCCCCAAGAGACACACACACGAACACACACATATTAGCGATTGGCAGCACCCATGAAAGCAGGAACGGCACAACAAGAGGATGGGGGGGGAACAGCACCACGCCCGACCGCCTTTACGCGAACGAACACAATGAAAACAGCAAGTCAGCAGGCAATCTTCACGAGGGTTTAACACTCACGGCTTTACAACTCCGACAGTCGGAGTTGACAGAAGCACGCGGCCGTTGAGCTCACGAACCGGCTCTCACCTCGCGCGTGAAACTCCACCTCATCACCGACGGTCACACATCTTACTCTCTCGCCGACTTGGCCTCGGCACCGGATTCAACTTTGGAATTCCCCTCCCGTCGTCTCTCTCGCTCTCTCTCTCTCTCGCCCCATGTTACTATACACAGGGGCCGTCCATAAATGACGTCACGCGATTTTGGACTATTTTTGACACCCCCCCCCCCTCGTCACACGGCGTCACAAAAAGTCAGACCCCCCCCCCCTAAAATATGACGTCACAAAGATCTGCCCCCCCCAAAAGAAACATGCTTCAAATCGCTTTGAACTATTGTCATTGTAGTGCGTATTTAATGTGGCGCTGCACTCTGATGTTGTAGGAGAAAACATTTATTAAAAAGTCAATTTAATGAAGTAGAACGTGTTGTCTATATTTATTGAAAGTTGCGCATTTTGGTGTGACGTCACATTTCTCAACCCCCCCCCCCCCGTCACAAATGTCTGACCCCCCCTACCTCGGTGCGGCCCCACAGTACGTGTTCGACTCTCAACTATGATTATTGTTGTTGTTTTTGTTTTAACCAGACAAGCGGGCAAGAGACCTGGATGAGCGAGTCTCATTAAGCACAGTGCGACCTGGGGGTCAACAATCATGACATACGCGATAACAAAGTCCAGTACACCCTTGTTAATTTGACACATGGGGAGGGGGGGCTCTGGCCTCGACGAATCATTCAATATTCCGAATTATGTACAATGGTGCTCCCCAGTGTCTCCTGCTCCAAACACATTCCTGCGGAAGGAGCTGGTAGGAACGTTGGGTTGCTCAGTCAATGGCCTGCAGGGTCAACGGCGGCGTGGTGTATTCCGCAAATATGCCCGACTGTGAGGGCGGGCACAAGCCGGCGTGAGTAGGTTAAACGTTGAGTTTTATAAGGGCACCACGGGGTGACCAGCCCCTCCGCACCCAGCCCCAAACCTCCCACCCCCGACCCAGCCCCACCCAACCCCTCCCCACCCTCCGCACCCAGCCCCTCCCCACCCTCCGCACCCAGCCCCAATCCCTACCCTCCCCTCCCCACACAGCCCCTCCCTCCCCACCCAGCCCCTCCCTGCACGACGGACGGACACAATAATCCCCTGTGGGCTGGTGTAACCAGGAGGTTCCTACCAGTATAAAATATTAATACTGTAGTGTATGCTCAAAGCGCAATTACGAATGATCAAATACTGAAATAACGAGATTTTACTATACAGCAGCAATTAAACGAATATAAATTGGAGCAGAGACAACCAACTGTATACATTACAGCCAACACAGAAGATATATAATCTAACATAGATGAATTTTTAATTAGACGTATTTCCAAATAACTTTCAAAGCCCCCACACAGAACCATCAAGATTAGTAAATACAGGCAGTCCCCGAGGTACGACGGCCCGACTTACGATATTTCGATCTTACGATGGCGATACGACAAAATGCGTGTTAAAATTTTTCATTGCAGATAGGATTGCTTCCTGAAAAAAAACGTTCTATTAAATTGCAGGTAGGCTAAAAATGTACCTTGTTTTTTATTACTTTACATTTTACTGTGAAACACAGTATTGTAATTAATAAATACATACAGGATTAGGTTTACACAGCACGGCAGAGGTGGGACAAAGTCATTGTTATGCAAGTCCAAGTCGAGTCTCAAGTCATCAAATTCATGACTCGAGTCTGACTCGAGTCCAAGTCACATGACTCGAGTCCACACCTCAGAGGTGGGACAAAGTCATTGTTATGCAAGTCCAAGTCGAGTCTCAAGTCATCAAATTCATGACTCGAGTCTGACTCGAGTCCAAGTCACATGACTCGAGTCCACACCTCTGCAGCACGGTACTGTAAATTGCTCTGTTTTGCTAAATTATCACCATTCTTTAAGACTCCTGGGTAGGCTAGGCCATCTTCGACTTACGATTTTTTTTGACTTACGATGATGGGGTCGTCGTAACGCATCTCTGTCGTAAGTCGAGGACTGCCTGTATTCACGTGGAATTCGGGTGGTAGATATTGCACGAACATGATTCAATAGCCGAGCATAGACAGTCAAACGCACAAATACTCTACTCTGATATCAACAATTAATAGTGGACCACAACACAGGGTTTTTTTTGGTTAGATCGCATAAATGTGTCGTTAAGGGGCCCGTCCATAAATGACGTCACGCGATTTTGGATGATTTTTGACCCCCCCCCCCCGTTCGTCACATGGCGTCACAAAAAAATCTGACCCCCCCTCAAATATGACGTCACAAAGCTCTGCCACCCCCCCCCCCCCCAAAAAAACAAAACATGCTTCAAATCGCTTTAAACTATTGTCATTGTAAAGTGCGTATTTAATGTGGCGCTGCACTCTGATGTTGTAGGAGAAAACATTTATTAAAAAGTCTATTTAATTAAGCAGAACGTGTTGTCTATATTTATTTAAAGTTGAGCATTTTGATGTGACGTCACATTTCTCACCCCCCTCCCCTCGTCACACATCGTCACAAATGTCTGACCCCCCCCAATAGGTGCGTGACGTCATTTATGGACGGCCCCTAAACCCGCCAGCACACCTGTATTATGGACGATATTGGTCGCGAAAAGCTACGTGTTAAACTCATCAACAGTGCTTTGTCACTGGCCGTTGTTTGTGACTTTGTTCGATAATCTAAATTTTAATAAAATATACGCACTGTACGTGTGAAACCTTATTCATCAGCTGCTGCCGCCGTTTAAAACCTGAGCTTTCTAAAACCGCGCATTCGTTTACGCGCAGCTCTACCAAAACAACAAAAACAACAACTCAATAACAAAACAATTACAAATTACTGCCACGTGAAACATCCACGCGGAGCGGAGAATTCAATTGCCTGCCGAGGCCTACCTAGACATCGTGCGGGAAGCCTGCCCACTTGCCTGAATTCGCTACCGAGGAGGGCTCGAGGACTCCGGCGGGACGCGGTAGAAGCGAGGGGGTCGGGGTTATAATAATCTGAGAGGGTGGAGAGCGGGG